TTTTTTTTAATTAATTGGGGTTTGCCATTTTCATCATGTTGTTTTTGCTAATAAATTTGCACATCACTCAGGAGTTGTGATTCGACATTTGGGCTTGGGGCCAGTAAAGAAGACGAACTAGGCTGGTTTGGGTCTGCAGATAATATAGGAGGATCTGGAGACACAGTGAAGTCAGAGTTTGAGTTCCCATATCCTGAGCCAAATCCAGTGGAATACACTTCGCAAAATGACTCTTCCAAGAGTGATTTCATCAATGATATTTCCATAGGGGAAGACTGTTCTTGGACTTCCAAGAAATCTGATTCATTCACGTCTTTAGTGAATGAACCTGTTATGGCCAACAGCAAAGATAGGTTTATCTCCAAAGAACAGGTTAATTTATATCATGATTTCATGATTGGTTTACTACATAAGACTTGTTGTTCTTTATAGAAGTAATATTAGAACTACTTTTTACCACTGAATATCATATCAATCCTGGGAGAACAGGTGTCAATAAGATTCACTAATGTAATTTAATCAATTATATTTCCCATGGGTTTCATTTGTAACGGGAATTTTCTACGTCTTTTTTCACTGTGCTGGCAGATGAGAAAGGCTCTGGTTGTCATTTGGTATGTCATTTCTGTGTCAACAGTATGAACACTTATAATTTGTATTTATTATTCTTGACAGATCAACAATGACAAAAATCAGGTTAAGCTACAGGTCCAGTCCACCGGTAAAAGAAAAGAGCACTGTTTTGGAAATGGCACTTTCAATTGTACGATCGACCTTCACGATGAACCAATGCGGCTCCCTCTATCTTACATGCACTCAAACAACAGTCCTGATCTGACCTCGGTAAATCTGGCTCCATCTGCTATCAAATCCGAGATTCATGGTTTGAAATCTCCTTCACTGAGAGATCCCTCCTATGCATCCATCCAATTGCAGAATGACCCTAAATTTCCTGTGGCTGGAAAAAGAGAGAAGCTACAGAATGATCCTGGAGTTGTCAGCCTTGGAATTCCAGCAGAGATGGGGCCTTCACTTATACAAGAGTACTCGACAATGAGTTCAGGCGTGGATGATGTTTCGCCGGAAGCTGCTAGTTTTCGACAGCTTCAGCTTGTTATGGAACAGGTAAACTTCTGCTGGACATTTTGAAAATATTCTTCGATATTCTAGTAACATTAGTAGCTTATGTAATTATTGAACATCGAGTGCTGCCATTAGTAACATTAGTAGCTTATGTAAATATTGAACATCGAGTGCTGCCACATTATGTATGCTGGCTCCATCAGAATTATTGCAAGGTGTTTCATGCATGAAGACATATTATATCAAGTTCCATTCTATCCTTTAGTATTGTAAAATTGAAGTTAAACTTATAATTCTGTAGTTAATTTAGTTACATGGCTAGTCCTTTGGCATATTTATTACCTCTGCTTATGTGGGAAATATAGCTGCCTAGTGTCCAAGTTGTGACTTTCGACGTATGCCTATGCTTGCTAATTTTGAAGTATTCATGAGTGTATTTTGTTAGTGTTATAGTTTCAAAATGATGCTGAATGGTTCTTTGCATCAAAGTGTAATTTCATGAACACTAAGACCAGCATGATCATGGACAATTGAACTTAGAATGTCAGCTGTGATAGTTCATTTGATAGGCTATGATGTGAAGTTCAGTACGGGCCGTGTTACTCATTGAGCCTTTTTGATGTTGCTGGAGTTTAAGGATTCTCTATCTTGTTAAATATTTAAACATGTTATAATTGGGTTTTCATTCTCGTACTAGTTGGATTTGAGAACAAAAATATGCATAAGGGACAGTTTGTACCGTCTGGCCCAAAGTGCCGAACAGAGGCATAACCATGCAAACTTGAACGGCAGTTGTGCAGTCGAAATAGATGCAGGTGGAGCATTCTTTGCCACAGGGACAAACGAGTATGAGCTCTCTTTCTTCCTGATATTTCACTCTAATTATTTTATGGTAACATTTTTGGAGAAATATTCTTTATTATCATAAGGAGCTTGCTGTCATACGTGCATTAGACTGGAACAAGCAATCATTATTATTCTGAAATAAAGGAGTTGTTCGACTAAATTGTGCAGAACTATAAGCATTGTTTTTTTATCTAAAGCTAACACAATCTTTTAACTTCACCTAACTAATGACTTTTGTTTTGGGTGCAACAGTTTCATGAGTATCGAAACAGACACGAATCCTATAGACCGCTCGATAGCCCATTTATTGTTTCACAGGCCTTCAGAGCCTTCCAACACAGTAAGAGCTTATGATGCAAAAAACATCTATTCCCTCTTTTCCTATATTCATCGATCCGTGTGAACTCCAAACAAAATCAGATTTTCTTGTTTCGTGAGCAGGTTCATGGATCGAGCACGAGCCCACCTGTAACAGTCGAGAATTTGCTCACTTGTGAAGAGAATGCCTCCAAAATAGAGAAAGCCACCAACTGCAAACTGCAGAAATCTCGAGAGGAAGTGTCATAAGCATGAGGTCTCAATGTATTTAAATTTAAAGCTTTTTTTTCTTGCCCCGTGGAATTTATGCAACGGGTTGTTTAATTGTTCAGATATAGTCTCGTTTCTATTCTCTTTTTTGTATACCTCCATGGATGATGTTTTGATATACTTTCCGACGATGCATGTGTTCGTGAAAGAGCCATGTATGTTAGTTGCAGCGCTTTGAAAGGCTTACGACTTAAAATAAAGTTATATAAATGATGTGTAGTTGTGTAATAGTTGACATCATAAATGTGTAAAACGATACGCATTATTTCCAAGTGCGTCAACTTTTGTAGTTTGTAGATTAAAAGAGTCCGAAGTGTTGCGATTAAAAGAGTGCAAGTGGCAGTGTTGAATTTTAAAACTCGTGCGTCAACTTTTTTTTTATTGCTTGTTCCATCACTTAATCCTCTTTGTTATGAACTAGCGAATGATTATTTTGCTCTCGATATATTTGTATTATTACAAGTTGTACCATCAAAAATTTTCTATAAATAAGAGTTTCAGTTCTACCTCTCTTTTTTTCTAGTTTTATAACACGTTATCAACACGAGTCTACTCTCTAGAACTCAACTTGTAATATGACGAGAGCATGTCTATAGTTGTGTCTTGTAGACGATCTTCTGTATTAGAAATCGAATTATTACAAATCATAATATTCTTCAAACAATTTGAAGTCATAAATCTTAAGTTTACGTTGACATTATTCTTCATTAGCCACCCAAAACAGTCTGGAATGTTAAAAATATCATTTTTCATCTCCACAAACAAGATCACACAATGAGAGAATTTTCTCACTCCATGTGAAGAAAAACTTGTCTTTGTTTTCTTTGGTATTGCTCCTTATTCTTGCTAGTGCTCTAGCTCAACTTCACAGAAATCGAACACACAACTTGAGTGTTGGTGAGAAAAAGAAAAAAAAAGTTGTAGTGCTCGCAGAACTTAACAATGGCGGATGAGAAACATACTCTTGCTTCACTTGAATATTTTCATATCATGGATAGTTTATTTAATAAGATTAATAAACTTTTGAGAGCAGTAAATCAAAGGATTCATGAAACTGAGAATATTAAAAATGTTGAACACAGAAGAAATCGGTGTCGGCATGTTTGCAAAATGATTCATTGCCTTAATATCCAATTGCTACCAAATTGATGAGCAACGACAAGTAAATATGTTTGAATAAGACAAATAGTGCATCATTTAATGTGTTCGGATGATTATTAAATGAGGGCCCCTTTACAATTTGTCCATCTTGTGGTCATTTCATGTAAAAAAATAACGTTGGAGATCAATTGCACCCAAAAGAAAAAAAATTGATGAAATATTTACTTGATTGATTTAATTGTAAAATTGTGTTTTGCCAATTATAAAAGACAAGGATTATTGAAATATGTTTTTATTAAATGCATACTACTCTATTTAGTGATAGATTCGATTTAAAACCAATGTTATGAAATGTTTAAATTATTGTAAAACTTATTTATATGGACATGTGAATATTTATAGTTGACCCTCGTGATATGAAAATAACTATGTGGGGCTATAAAGACGGGTCAATTGCTGATCGAAACATTATAAAGAAGTATGAACGATCATATGAAATGACCAAATGTTGCAGCCACCAGCAACAGATAATATTGAACGGCTAAATAGATTGGTCAACGTATTAATTAATTATAGACGATGATGTGGAATGGCTAAGTGGTAAGGCTACATGCAACAAATATGAATGTCTATATATTCATGGGTCAGCCAGTGCGGCTCTGCTACCGGCGAAGGGAAATACTAATAAGTGATAGCCGATGAATGATATTAATGATACTTTGTATCTGGCCATGTGAAATATGGCCTAAAGTCCTGATCGTGACATTATATGGAATAACATGTTCTTGAAAAACAGTTGATAAATTCTTCAAATTTATAGAGAAACAAAAATTCATAAGATGGTACCAGAAGTTACTACATATATAATGTGATACCAGAAGTTACTACATAGTGATTGAATGATATCCTGATATAGTGGTATTGGAAGTTACCACGTTATGATTAAACAAAGTTTCAGTGTAAAATTCTTCTAATTTCTCCCAAAGATCTTTAGCGGAATCAAGTTTATCAACTTTCCTAAGCACAAAGTCAGACAAATTCAAGATAATTGACGAATAAGTAAATTGGTCCATTTCAGCAACTTTATCTTTAGCTTAAACAAGCAAATTTCATCACAAAGCACGATAGTAATTTGACACAGTCACAAAAAGTAAATTTAACACCAACCAGCAATGAAATGAGGCACACAGACCCAAAGCAACGAAAAAAATGGCACCAAGCAAATTTCACTTCAAATAAGCAACAGTGCAGGAAAAAAAAAATTAATGCTAGTAACAATGAGAATAGCCACAGGCTCAGAAAAACAAGATAAGCACACAGTTAACACATAACACATGTACGTCTAATCTAGTGTTCTAGCAGCTAATCTCTAACAAGCAATCCCCGGCCAGGGGCTACAACTACGAAAGCAGTAATAGCCGAGTTCAAACCAACTTACCAGAGCGAGCCCTACGTGTTAGGTGCTTGACTTACCTACGCTATGGCGGGACTGCTCACGCTCTGATACCACTGTTGTGTGACCGTCTCGATCCCACCGCTCTGTTCATGGTAGCGGAAGCTTCTTTCTAAGCGCATGCAAGTCTTCACGGTCTTCCCAAGATGTTGCTCGTGTCCAAGGGCTCGCGGACAACTCTTTTTGCTCGCGGGTTGATCCAAGCACACTCTTTAAACTCTAGTTTTTGCCCGATTCAGCCTGAAAATGGATACACAGTTTTAACAGTGATTAAAACGAACGATAAACAAGAAAATGCAAAAAAAATGCTGAAAAATAAGAAAATAAAAGAGAGGAACGAAAACTTCGTTTCGTTCGTCGGAATCTGGCCGGACAATGTTAGGGGTGAGTGTGGGTCGGTATGGTTCAGAGATTGATAAATCTCCAGAACCGTACCAAAATTCAGAGATCCCACAATTTGATCTTCGGAACCGTACCAATATTCAGAGATCCCACAAATTTATCTTCGGAATCGTACCAAAAGGTCAGTTTGGTTCGGTTCGAATATTTTTACTCTTCGGTTCGGTTCAGTTTGGTATTCGGGACTATTGGGACGGTTCGGTTTGGATGGTTTGGTTCGGATCTTCAGAGATATAATATTATAATTTGATTTTTGAATGATTACCTAGTTATATTTTAATTTTTATATGCTTTAAAAAACAACATTCATCAATAACTTATCATATTGAAGATTTTATTTTGAAGTCAATTTTCGAAGTAACTCTAAATTTTAGTTATTTAATTTTTATATGCTTTAATAAAACCAACATTCATCAATACTTCCTCATATTAAAGATTTTATTTTGAAATCAACTTTAGAAGTAACTCTAGATTTTAGTTAAGACTAAATTTGTGCAACTAATATTGAAAATTTAAAATTCAAACAAAATATAATATTTTTTTTTAAAAAAAATATTCTTTAATATTTCATATTATTTTAAATAATTATTTTATAATAGAAAAAAAATCAATTGTAGATCAAGTATTACTAAGCATGAAAATTAAGTGAAGGTTAATAGTTAATACTATATTATATATATAGAATCGAAGTTGACATAAATATATTAATAACACATCTAATGTTATAATTTAGTTCTTCAGTTCGGTTCTCAGTACGGATATTTGTGAAATCTCCATAATCGTACCAATTATTTTTCGGTTCGGTTCAGAGAAAGGCAAACGGTCAACGGTTATTTTTTGGTTCGGAGTGATTTCGGTTCAGTTTTCGGAACAGTTTGGAATTCTCCGAGTCTCATGCTCAGCCCTAGATAATGTAGACTCTAAGTCTCCCGGCTAGATCACCCTTGAATTCGGCACTCTCGGTTAAGTTACGGCTCGATGGTGGTCAACGAACAGCGACCCCGGTTCTTCGGCCCGTTTCCCGGGCTGCGCCTCACTCACAAGCCCACGCACTCGGCCACTCCGTCACCAAACCCCTCCTTTCACACAGAGATTCGCCGAAAGCCCAATGCAAAGGCTTTAGCCGACGGGTTAAGCTGGGCGACGGCGAGGTGGCACAATGACGACACAAAGGCGAAACTTGCCTCTCACACACTCTAAAAGGTCACGAAGAACTGAGGGAGAGAATGGGAGATCGATCGGGTTTCTCTCAAAGAAGAGAGAGAGAGAGAGAGAGAGAGAGAGAGAGAGAGAGAGAGAGAGAGATCGGTTTTCACGCAACAGTAAGAGAGAGGAGAGTGAGAGTGAGAGTGATCTTATCTGTTATGGCAAGAGAAAAATAGAGTATTTAAGGTGTAAGATGGATGG